ATTTTTTTATATAGTGTATATATATTAATGTAATATATTATTAAAAATGACAAACAATAATAAATGAATGACATGATAACTTGTCTTGCTTATAATATAAAATATTTAGTACAAAATATCTAATACAACCACAAAAATATAAACAAATAATCACTTACTACAACATCAAGCATTCAAGCTTCAACTACTAGGATTAGCTTTAGAGGTTTGTTTTTGGCATTTAATATCATCATCATTGAATATCACTGTTTTCAACTCTGGTTCAACAAGAAAAAGATTTGTAATTGTGCAAAAAGAGAGGAGATGAAAATACCTTCACTGCCAAAGAAAAATAAAAATGAGAAAATGAGATGAAGGGTATTAAATGCAGACGTTGATTTGGTGTTATGGATAGAAAATAAGAAATTTAGTTTAAATCTCACCAAAATAAGAAATTATATTTTAAAAAATTATAAAATATTTAAGATGCGCGTGTCCAATTTGTTTTTTAATATTTTTTTAATCGGACACATTTTCATCGTGTCTGACACGTGTCGGAGGAGTGTCGGATGAGTGTCGTGTCGGACACGGTGTTAGACACTGCACGCCTCTTTGAGGAGAAGTGTCGGTGCATCATAGCCTATCGATTATATCCTATTGATTCATATCTCAAGGATTTGATGTCACTAGGAAACATATTGGCTCTGGCCATAACCGGTATTTCGTGGTGCCATTTGGCGGCAAAACCACTCGGTTCAGAGGGCCCCAGGTCATAATCGTTTATCCTACGGTGTCATTTGGCGACAAAACTGCCGGTTAGAGGACACGTACCACGTCCTTACTAGCAGGAGATTGTTTGATAATGGATCCTAGTAATATTTTCGACTAGTCATTTGGCTCTATATGAGCTTAAATAAATTTTAATTCGTCCACCTCGACAAACTATTGTGGAGGGTGGATGGATTTTACTTTAAGTATGGATCGATAATTTCAATTTTAAATATTTGGGATTTGAGATTTTTGGGATAATTTTGGAATTTTTGGATTTTTGAGTGTTTGGGTGGCATTTTGGATCATTTGAAATGGACCCCTCTGGTTGAGATTTGTATTCAACACGGTCATCATCGGGATATTTGGGATCATTTTCATTTGTGACTTGAACCTTGTCGACCCTATCAACTTACTGATAAGGGATCGGGTTTTGTAGGCTTTGTGCCCTTTGTTAGTGAATTCATATTATTATAGGCCTTGAAAACCTAATATGAATGTATTAAAAGAAATACACCGGTCGCCACAACTGTGTATTTGTTTGAAGGTTCGAACCCTATAGACTCATATTGACCCATATAGAAGGATCGGATTCGAACTTGAATTCACTTATCGACCCGCGCAGCATCCCTAAACGACACATGTGCACCAATAACACGCTCGTCGGCCATACGAGTGTTTGGGAGCATTTTATAATTATACCGTCTACTCATTTTTACCTTCTTAGGAGGATCGGGTTCAAATTTAATAACCCGCACAGCATCCCTAGATGTCACGTGTGTACCAATGACACGCTCGTCGGGGCCCATGCGGGTTTTATAATTGCTTTTACTCCTTTTAGTGTACCTATGTGTATACGAACTATGGTTCGGTGGTGTGGCGTTGTAGATTGTAGACGCCTTCTTTCTGCTTGTATGAGTGTTGCAAATCCGGTGGCATTGTATTGTAGATTGTAGACGCCTTCTATTTGCTTGTACGAAGGTTGCAGATCTGGTGGCGTGGCGTTGCAGCTTGGGGATTGAGTTATTTGCTGCCTTGTACAGGTAGACTGTCGTGTACTACTCGTTGCTCTTTGCATGTGGATTGTAGTGCACTAACTAATCTCCTGTTTTTGTTTGTAGATGCTTGTAATCATCACTGACCTTCTCATGCAAACTGGTCATCATATTGTTATGTCTTTTGTACATTGACTCTCTGTTTTTGTAAGGAAATGTGATTTTTACTTACTGATTAATCACCGGCATTTGAAAGGCCATCGTAATATCCATTGCATACCTCTCGTAGTCACCACATATCTCTCTTCTACTTGTAGGCTAGATGTTGTATATATGACAACTCTCCTGATGGTTGAGACTTCACTCACAATTGCTCGAATGCTACAAGTTAATTAATCTTCCCTGTCGCCAATAATCATTCACAAGTCTTCTAGTAGTTGTTTGAAAGTGAACCGTCGCGTGTGTAGTAGATTCATGTTCTTGCTTGCATATGAACTACGGGGTGTTGCTACATTCACTTCGGTGAGTTTTCATCACTTGTAGGTGGGCCAATGTATTCGTAAATGCACTGATGTTGAGCTGAGTGAAGATGCTAAATTCATTATGCGCTCTTCACATTCTACTTGTGAGCATCTCATATTGCACTTTGACTACAGAGGTTCAGTGCATTTATCTCACATTCAAGTAATACTGATTGTGCATGAGCTTTTTGGTCTTCTTCATGGATACATCATGATTCTCACTGCTACTATCCTGCCTCCCATTGTTGCTTGCAAACAGTTAGCAGATCATCACATTCTCTACAATCATTGTTGATTGATTTTAGATGGTCGTGTGAAATGTTACAAGTCTTCTACCATCTTTTGAGGATGACTTGTGACTTGTATAGATTTTCCTTTAACTTTGTCAATTGATACATGCAAGAAAGTTGTATTGATGTTTCATTTGGACAATTCAAAGTCTTAATTAGCATTTGTACTCTTTTTGTTTGATTTAAACATTTATCATTCAAAGTCCAGGTCTTTGTAGTCAAATTGCAAGTTTTTTTTTCGTATCCATGATGAGTTCAAGTTCTAGTTCTTTGTTCAACACTTCAACTCATGTGAGTTCAAGTAGCAAGCTCAATTTCTATATCCCCTGTTGTCCAAATGTTGTTCAAATTCTGTTCAAATTTGAGTCTGAGTTCAAATTCAAGTTCTTTGCGATCCTTGCAAGTTTAATCAAGTTCAAATTGAGTTTGTGTCCAAACTCAAATCAAGCTCAAATCTTTGCTCAAGTTCAAATGTTCAAGTTCAAATCATTCGAGTCCTTGCTTAATTCAGTCTTATGCTATCTTTTATATTCACTTAAGGTTGAGTTCACTTAAGTCCCATTTGTTCAATCAACTTCAGATACGGCCTCGTGTTCACCCGAAATTTCGGCAACCTCCCGGCGTCTCCCCCGTTTAAGGGAAAACTATGAGAAAACTGGGCCTTTCCCACCACGTGCAATAAAGACGTGCATGATAGGTGCCCTCCGACGAAGACACCGCAGCCGTGATCTTTCTTCCCACCACGCGCAATAAAGGCGTGCCTGGGGTCTTTGACGGTACCTGTTTAAAAAGACAGTTTGTTTTCCCCCCACTCAGGGGTACTTATGAGTGATCTCGTCTCGCCGTAGGTGCCGCACCAGGGTCCCATCCCTCCACGCGCAATAAAGGTGTGCATGGGCGGTTTTCCGGTCCGCCACGAACATTGAAGTAGGTTTTCAGTTAGAGAGTTCATACCTTCGCGGGGTTGTTGGCGACGTCGGCACGTAGATCGAGGCAAGAGGAGAGAAGGGGATTTTCCCCCTTTTCTCTTTTCTTCCTTTTTTTAATTACAATTAATTTTAATCAAGAATAATTAGTTATAATTAATTATTTTTAAAATCTTTAGTATCTAATACTAATGTGCAAGAAAAAATTAATAATAAGAAGCTTTGTTATAAAAATTGGTTTAATTTTAAAAATTCTGATAATTGGGAAATATATAAAGTGGCTCGTAAGGATGCTAAGAAAGCAATATGCGATGCAAAGACATTACATCTCTCTCTCTCTCTCTCTCTCTCTCTCTCTCTCTCTCTCTCTCTCTCTCTCTGCTTGCGTGAAACGTCGGCACAGGCAAGTGCTTGATGGGGCTGGGGATCGAAGGGAGCAGAGGTGGAGTTCGGGCAGAGCTCGGTCGGAGGGCCTTTGGGATCGATTCGACAGGAGGAAGGGGAGATCGATCAGTAAGAGGAGCTCGGCAGGGGGTTTGCGAATGAGGAAGCGAGTGTGTAAGCTCTCTCCGAAGGCAAGGCTCTGCTTCGTTTTATAGACGCAATCGGAGTAACGATCGAGGCGAAATGGAAGAATTCGTGGGAGGTGACATGAGCGGCGCTGAGTGCACAGTAACTCGGCGGGATTCCTTGCGGGATTCGCGGGATCATATACGAGGTGAGATGCTTTATTTGTTCTTTACCTAGATGTTAACAGGGTTCAAATTACCTTTCGTGCATAATTACTATTAAAAATATATATATTAAAAAAATATTAAGAGAGAGAGAGAAGACAATGTTTAAGAGAGAAGGAGAGAGAGGGGAAGCAGCCTGGCCTAAGAATTTCAATGGCATAATACATGATCGATTTTAAGAATAAATGATAAATGAAGTTTTCAAGTAAACATAAATTTAATATTTCAAAACAAGATACCAAATTAACATGATGATAAAAACACAACACAAAAATGTGAATAGACACCTCCAAAGCAAAGTATCATCTAATGCAACTCCCTTAGATCGGGATTTAACTAAAACGGTAAAATTTTCATAATAAAAGCAAATTTAAAGCTGGTACCAATATTTGATTTAGAATTGACACAAATCATTATATGAAACGTAAGTGAAAGCATATAGAGAATGAAGATTTTTCCATTAAACTCTCAAAGAACAACTGAGCGCATCAACTAACATTTGAAGTACCATTTTTCATATCAAATTTATATGTATCACTTCATGTAGCATTTATAAAGTTACATTAATATGCACCGTTTCATCTAATCATATGGGAGAGATATAAGTGGGTGGGGAAAAAAGGTTCCTTAGGAGTAACATATGATGAGGGATACATGAAGACAGTTATAATTTAAGGATCTGAGTATTGAGTGTTATAAAAATCATTAACAATGAAGTTGAGAAATTGCATAATCGAGAATGTTACAGATGAATGTGGTTAAAACAACAAAAATTGAGTAAGAAATTACCTTATTAAAACAATTGATAAAATCCTAAAAATAGAACTAGGTGGCTTAGTCGTGCAATGGAAGACTAAAGATGGAAAAAAACGATACATTGATCATGCAGGTGGATAGATTTAATGTGAAAAGATATAGAGAAAAATGGGTATAAGGCAATGGTAGCATTGCTGGTTGTGAAAAAAGGCCAGCTGAACTATTGGCTAAAACATTGTAGAAAATCATATCTATTAGTAGAATTAGGGTTTACCTGCATTGGTCCTCCCGCCAATGTGGGGTCCTACGGAGGCTAACAAGTCAAAAATTATAATATGGTCATTACTAATTAGGAAGCACATCAAAAAATGTCAAAATCTCTAGTTCAAGATCATTCTCTAACCAACATTTGCACCAAATCAATAGTAGAAACCATGCCACTAATTTAGCCACTTTATTTTATGCAATGTTGTGTCAACTAAATTATTGAAGACAGACATACCAAGTATAAAGTGCAGTTATTAATTCGTCAGCTAAGTTGAGAATAGCTGATTGTAACATTCTACATACTAAAAATTATAAAATGTAAAGAGGAAAGAAGATTGGACAATGATATCTAATGGTTTTTAGGGAAAACACTTAATAAGGGGTAGGTAAATAATTAGTGGATAGATACAAGCAACAAAATAATAAGATAGTGCTTGAATTTTATACTTGTGGTGGTGAGTTGGTGGGCAGGGGCGTGTTTGTGTGAGTGTGTGTGGTGGCGGTCTTTGTTTTTTTTTTTTTGAACATTGTATTTTTATCTGTATGGACTAAGGAACTGAAGTTTGCGAACATTCAGCCCAGAGTGCAAACATTGTGGACTCCAGCTCCAAGCACCTTTCTCTCAAGAACATGATACTTGCCATCAATCAGAAAAAGTTCACACTTCAGATTAATGGTATTGATGCGTTCCCTAATTTTAACAGTAGTAACTTCCCCATAGAAGAATTAATCTTATAAATAGAAAGCAAGACTTCTTTCAGAAACAGCATAGCTATGATAAGAGGATTTAACAAGAATATTCTTTGCACATTTGATAAGCTTCGCATTTAATGAAAGTATCATTACTTCTATGGCACCATAAGAAAATTATAAATTCTACATGAATAACTCATTAAAAGAAACTTCGATAAAAGCATTTTCCATGAAGAAAAGAAGAAGGATGAACCAAAAAAAAAAGACTTTATTGATGAATTAATATTGATAGTGTGAGGTATCATTCTGAGGAAACTGTGAAATTCCATGTCACAACGTAAACATTCTTAGAAAGAATATTATAGTATTACTGCATTTGCACATGAGCTTACAAACAAAAACCTTTTGTTGTATCCATTGATCATGAGAACGGTTCAACTGGTGCTGACTCTTCGAGAATGGCAGCTGCCTGGAAACACTCAGCAGCCTCCACAGTTGAAGCACCCTCAGCTTCATAAAGTAAACCAAGATTGAACCAAGCAACATGGCTAGTTCTATCTAGACGCAATGCCTCAGCTAGGAAGCTTCTTACAAGAGCAAATTGCCGGTCACCACAATGTCTAAGTACAATGGCTGTAGAAATCAAACTTGGAACATGTGTTGGTTCCAAATCAAGAGCTTTAGAATATGATACCAAAGATTCTTTATGAAGTCCCTTTGCTTCTTGAAGTTGTCCTGGAACAAAAATATATATAAATGAGAATGTATAAAATAAAAGGTACATGTAAAACAAGTTGAAAGCATAATCATTTTATGAAAGATTTATCATTTTTTTTTATTGGTGCTCCATAATTATTTATTATTATTTCCTCCTAAGATTATGGAATTCTCCTATAAATAAAAGGATGCATAACCCCCCCCCCCCCCCCCCATGCATAACCCCCCCCCCGCCAAACAAAAACCAAAACCTACTTAGCCAACTTCATCTTCTCCTACATGCCTTTAGAAGACTTCTAATACAAGTCTCCCTACTCTTATCAAAGTCATCCACACAAGAAATAATCAAGCTCCATGCATAAAGAGTATCTTTCTGCTTTCCCATCCTCTTCACCAAGGAAAAGTTTAGTACCGACCGATGTAAACTAAAAATAAAAAATAAAAAACTAGCTCTAGATAATTAATTAAAAATCATCAAAATCTAAAATTTAGTAGAAATCTAGCAAAATTAAACCATGTAATCAATAAGATTCAAATTGTGAGAAGAAAAGACATTTTGTAGCAGACTTAATAAAATCTGAATCATTATTTCAAATCTCAATGTGTTAGTATAAGGGGAAAGCTTCTTCCGTAAATTATCATCAAGATTTGTGCTATAATAAAAAAAATTGCATCCAAATAATACATAAGTTTGAAGGAATATCAATATTTTATTGACTCGTTCAAGATATATTATATACCCTCGGGTCCTATCTATAGCTGAAAAAGGCCCACAAATATTAATTTCTCAGAATTCTCAAAATCTAACTTGAAATAGTAATTCACTCAACACTAACGGATTCGAAGACACAAGTTTTCCGATACAACCTGGTCAAAACAACAAACATAGGTTCCTGCTATAGTCCAAAGAATAAGAAAGCCTACAGCTAAAGATGGACAAGTGCAAAAACAAATCCCATAATAAAATAAATATTAACAAATCAACCAACTACAGAAGCAAAACCAACAAAAATAACACTTCATACGTTTAGTATAAAGCAAAACACAATCCAGCAACAACCCATGACAACAACAAAGTCTAGGCTAAAGCACAAATAACTGCAATGCAGCAATTAACGATCCTGAGAAACTATGCACAACCTAGAATGTAAAATAGGGTAAACAACAATAAAACAATTCAAATCAAAGTCTAGCAACAACGAGAACGGAAAATGATGAACAAGAAAATCTGATGAGAGATAAACCAACATAATTTGAAGAAAACAAAACCTATTAAGGTAATCAAAATATTTGAAAGCATAATCCATTCTCATAAGCATCATCATTATAGGCATGTTATCTCAAAATAAACTAGAAAATAAAAAATAAGAAAACTAGAGCAACATCAAAATTTTAGATGTAATTTAGCTCATCTTAATGCTCACGCCCAACATTTTATATGAGAATAAACTCTCAGATTTCATGAAATTTTCTTTATCTTGAAAAAATTCAACTCCGGCAGATTAAGCATTTGATATTTGTCAAGTAAATCTAAGCATAATTGCTATGCTTCCTGTTAGGTAATCCAAGAACCAAGATGAGTAGGCATGTCGTACTAATGGGTAAGATACCTTTGATATCCTAGTCAAAAATGGCACAAAATGATCATTTAGACTATCTTGAGGAACAAGAAGAGTCGATCTATCTAAGAAGTTGGATGTGAATTCATGAGATGGAGAGTCAAAAATCTACAATATGGTCATTGAGCGTAAGTTCATGAAATACAGTCGAAAAATTGAAGATTGTACTAATACCACAAAATATTGAAATTTTCAATTTATAAGTATTTTTCTGATGTGTTACATGATTTTATATAGCCTTGTCTTTCTAGCAGTAAATTTTTTAAAAGAATCTCATAGGAAACCCTTCAAGATTCTAATATCCTATCATCTTATCACCTATATTGCATCAGCGATGATATATAATTGCCACAAAAAAAACAGTAAATTTATTGTAAGTATCTCCATACAAATTATATAAATCATGCGAATAACTAATTTGATATGAAATAAGTAACGAAAAACACTAAAATTTTAATGTGCATTTTAATGGATACTAAAAATAGCATATAACTAAGATGAGATTATAACAAAGATTAAAAGCAAACAAACTACACAAATATGATCTATATGAACGAACAATTTCTTTAAAAAAAATTTAATCAAAATGGTTTAAAGTTAGTGATGAATAAGGCAATTTTAAAAATGATTCAATGATAGATGACAATTCAAAGTTCAAAATTCATATATAGCAATTATCGCTAATGAAATCTTTTGAATTGTTGATGATCTCCAACGGTAAAACATGTAATGTTGCTAGTGGTGAGATCTTCCGTAATCATTGGGAAACTACATGTGTTTTTATAACTAGTTCTTTATAAATCAGCTATTTAAGCTACGTTTTACATTATTTATGACTTTCATGATGTCATTATTGAGGTTGATTCAATATATGTTACAACTCTTGTTTTGTTATGTTGATTCTACGCATTGGAAGCTCTCCCATTTCCTTAGAAAAATAAAACACATTTCAAAATTACTATAAACTCAGTGTGCTCACACACTAGGGGATCACACACTAGGGGAAGCCATTAATGTTACTGATTATCTAATAAATGAAAGATATATTTCAAATAAAGGAATGTTCTGATGGAGCTTAGTTTGTAATTTTCGGAATCCAGGAAAAACAGCCCAAAAACGGTGGAAAAATGCGAAACAGGGATTCAGAAGCATCTCATGGTATTTTCTTTGCTAGGCATACTGAGTTTTACTAATCTAAGATCATCATATTGTATATTTTCCTTTTTTTGAGAAGAGCTTTTGTTGCCCTTCCCTTTTTTGCATTGGATTTCCTTATGAATAAACCAATAGAAAATACCTACCTAATCCCCAGCTTAGGCATAGATAGCATTACATAAAAATAAACATATAAATAAAGAGCAAGTAATTCACTTAAATTCTATTCCTACTCAAGCGTTAACGTTTCAATCATGTGCAAACATAAGAAAGAACAGATGAATTTCCACAAACAAACAACCAGCCTTACGAGAGAAAGATTAGCTCAGTCATCAAAGATATTGTGAAGCTTTCAAATTCTCCTTATAAGGTGCTTTAGCAATCCATAGCATCTATGTCAACTTGTTGCTTCCCTAATACCCTCCTTATGATGCTGATTTATTCATATAATTTCTTCTAGTTCTCCATAACCACTTCCAAATAGATGGTTCTCTAATCAGTTTCTTGACAATCTCTACAAGGATCTATTTGAGACGACTGCACTATTTTATAAAACTAGCTAAGAAGTTGTTGTGGGGAAAGTAACTTAACTACTTTAGTTGCAAAAATAGTCTTCTACCACAATTTTTTGAAGAACATTGATAAAAAAGTAAGAAAGCAGTAGTCAAATAAAATTATGATTATTTTCTAATAAGCAAAGCAGCTAGAAAGCTGTCCCAAACATACCTTAAATCTAATATCCCATTCCTTTAAGGAAATTTACCTTAAACTGTATCATTTTTGGCAAATCCAGTTATCATGCGTAACTATTTAATTAAGAAAATACCGAAATAGCAATTGGGATTTCCATTTAAACCGATGTAATATTTCCCAAGTCCAAAACAACTAAGTAATTGTTCATCTCTATATATATTCCATGATCAATCGAGTGCAACAAGGAAGGCGACTACTAGATATGTTGCTTATCACAAACATTAGGACACCTTGATTGCTATCAAAATAACTCAAAACTTTATCCGATCATGAAATAGATCACATTGTTCAGCTTAGGATACTGAAATTGCTAAGGAAGAGTCATTTGTGCATAACTCAATAAAAAATGATGACAAACATAATTGTTGGCAAGCACGATGCTACATAAAATTATCCCAATGACCTCTTATCATCAAACAGACAACGCTGATGTGATAAGAGCACCAAATTTACCTAAGAAGGGACCCCTCGTAATCGAATCGAGCGAAGGAGGCAATAAAAATCAACAGACTACGAAGCAATCATTGCACGACATTGTCGAAATACCATCCGTTTGCAAAATGGATTTCGTCGTTGTGTCCGCAACGTCGAAATCATATGGGAAAAAAGTTGTAATATTGCACAGGTCATCGTACAATGCAAAAAGGCGAAATTAGCATGAATTTCAGGGTGACATTGCATGAAACTGACCAAATGACATTGATAGACCGACCAAATTTGATTGAGAGGGAATTAGAAAATTTCTTAATCAAGATAGAGTTTTTTAGGAAGGTTCTTAATCAAACGAAATTAATTAGAAATTGTTTCCTAATTAGGACATATTTAGAGGCTGATTTGGGGAGGGGGGAGATTAATTATGAAATGTTTTCTAATTGAAGAGGGCATATTTATAGGGTGATTTGAGGGTTGATTTGGAAGGAAAATAATTAAGAAAATATGAGGGAATTAAGGGAGGGACGTTTAGGTATTTGTTGTTTAATTGTTTTCTTTAAATAAGAAGAGAGGATTAGGGTTAGGGGTATGCAAATTATTGTGACTATTCTTGTTCTTGGATTTTGGTGTTTTGGGCTCTAGCGGCTTCTAGGGATTATGAGAGATAGATCCTCCTCTCGAATTGAGGATAAATTGCTTCTTGCTATTTTCTTCTGTACGTTTTATTATTGCAATAAAAACTACTGTTTTGCTTGTTTTTCCATTAGATTTGTGGATCGTTCTTGTTGTTTTTATCTCTATTATTAGGGTTTACTTGAGATCTTAATGTATTTTTTAACAAATTGGTATCAGAGCAAATTTTGTGGATTTTTCTGAGAAAATTAGCAGCTGATTTTTAAACGGAAGGGGGCTATTTTGCTATTTTTGAAATCGAGATTTAGATTTTTTTTTAGTCCAACAAAAATCAGGGTATCGATGGCATCCAATAAAGTGAATGTGTTGGAGGAACGCCTCGAAGGACAAATGAGTCAAAGGAAAGCAATGGCGGAAGATAGAATT